AGCAATGCATGGGCTCAAGGAGTTGATATTTTGATTAAAGTCACTTTACAAGAATAGAAGTGTTAGCTTTCTTCCTTAAATGGCAAGTAAGCTTGGACAAAGCTTGAATCACTTGGATAATGGCTCAAAATTGTGTGTAATCTTCTTACTATGGATAAATTTGGAGGTTTAGAGGCCTGCAAAGTGAGATTATGCAGCATAGTATGAGAATTGGTTATGAACTTGTCACAAAAATGACCGATAATGCAACATTAGATACCCGACTTCATCTCTTCGAAACATCTAGCTCAAGTATGATAAATTTGTGTTCTTGGATATTTTGGAAAGCTTGAAACATTGTCTATAACTTTCATGTTTACCACTTTGCCTAGATAAAATGGGAACTTGGTGGAAATTGGACTAGAAGTTGAGATGAAAAACTAACTAAAACTTGTTGAAAAACTGACCACTTTGGCTTAACATTTGGATTAGTTAGCTAGGTTAAGTTAATTTCTATTATGTTAGAGTTGTCAATATAGTTCTTCGAGTTGTTAGAACTATCAATAGAGTTGTCAATTGAGTTGTTAATAGGGTTGTTAGAGTTTCAATAGTGTTGTTAAAATTATTAATAGAGTTGTTTTGTATCATTAAAAGTCACCTTTATTTGTTTTGAGTAATTCTGACATGTTGTAGTTCTTACTGTAACGCGGCACATTTAGAGTTGATTTGAGAATGAGACCTATAGTTACTATGTGGCCATGTTTTAATGGATATGATATAATTTAGTGGTGCATATCAATTTGATAACATGTAACAAAAACATATATTGTAGCGTAATGGCCCTTAGAAACTAAATGGTTTATGAACTTAAGTTCTACTATATATTGGAGTGTGGAACTATAATCATGGGCTACTATAGCTTGTTTAGTAATTAGTTTCAAGTTAGTAACATATACATACTTCATTAGTATGAATAATAATAATAATATTGATAATAATGATAATAATAATAATAATGATAATAATTTTAGTATTATTAGTATAATTTTTTTTAGGAGTTTTGTAATTATAAATAAGCATTTAGATAATTAATTAATCGGAAATAGTCGTAATAGTCCTAATAGTTACGCGTTTTGGTTGTAGTAAATTTTGGTTGATTTGTGGTATCATGTTCCCTGTTGAACAATGCGAATTTGCAGGGGATGTTGTATCTTATTGAATTGCCTCTATTTATGGGCAAAATATTAAGTTGTGGACCTATGTCCAACGTTGGTTTGTTGTTGCGTTGCTATGAAATTTTATTGTTGTTATTCTGACATTCATATTGGGTTGTATATATAACATATCAAGTTGAAGCTGGTGCTCGGTAAGTTGGTCTGGATTGGCAAATTAAGTTGAAGGCTTATGCCTTGTTGATGCCTCTATTAACTGGCAGGTTTATAAGTTGGGAGTTTTGCTCAATTGGTACCACATGCATGTGCATTGTAACGAGTCACATTATGTGTTGCATATTTAACATGTTGTGTTGTTGACTTGTGATGATTGATGTTGGTTGAAAGTTGTGAAATGATGATTTTATATAATTTGATCTAATAAATTGTTTATCACACACTCAATTATATGGTTCGATATCTCACCCATTTTGTTTGAATGTTACCCTCTGTTGGTAACGTGCAGGTAATCAAGAAGGATAGTTGTTACCTTCGTTAGTTCGAGTCAGTGTTGTTTCTCTGACACGTAGCACTCAGGGGGGTGAATGCATGTTTTATTTATTGTTGGTTTTCATTATATTGCTGAATTTTTAAGTTGTTTTCATTAAAGACTTGTTGTCTTAAAGCCGTTTTGAGTTGGACAAGATGTTATGATGTTTTTAGTTGAATTTTTGAATCGCTGCATAGCAACGAAGGTTGTGTTATTTTTAAAGACTAAACAGGTTGTTATCGGTTCATCCGAACTTTATGTGTTATGTATCTGAACTATAGGTGATTGAATGTCATTGTTTTCAAGTTGAAAGTGTAGCATTCCATTTGTTTGTTGGAAATTTTGTAACTCTGATTCTATATAATTCATTGGGTAGAAATGGGGTGTTACAGGACCCGGTTTTTGGTTACCTTATGTCTTGGAAGAACCCTCATCCCTCCTGGGAGATTTAGAAGGGTGAATCCCTACCTCCTGAGAGGTTTTACTTTGCGTCATTCCTTGGGCGTCAGAAGTATTGAGGGAAAAATATTGCATCACCTGCTACTCAATCATCTACATCTTCACCAGACACTCCTGTTTTTCATCAAGGGACGCCACAATCATCTCGCCTGCATATAATAAACCGTTATAGTATGTGGTACAATAGGAGACAAATGAAAAGTATATGCCCTTACATAGGTACTCCTCCACTTTGTTGTCATCTTCACGATCTCGAATGATAAGGGTATTGCACTCCAGTGGCAAAAGCATTCCAAACCTGAATTACTTCATGTTTCAATGGAGAAAGGACACGTGAGTCCTCCCTTATGGTGAATTTAGGATCAAAGGTCCAAGAAAGAGGGAACAAGGGCTTGCTTCCCGCCCCTGCAATAACATGGGATGCATTGTCTTTATCTATGATCCGAGCAATTTTTTCCTTCCAATCCTCATAAGGACTGGGAAAGGGATTCGAAAAGTGCACCCTTGAAAAAGGATGTAACATTACACATTCACAGTTGAGAATAAGCTTCATCCTATAAAAGTATAAAAGCACCCTGACGGAAGGAGACACCCCCATGTGGAAGCATACTATTTGGAAAGCCCTGGGAAGGGGCCACATTAACAACAGTCAAAAATTCAGTCTCAAAGAAAGAGAAATGGACCAAAACCCATATCTCATAAATAACAAGGAGGTAGAGGTATAAGTAAAAAGAAGATGGATCGCAAAAGGTATCCATTTTCTCTCTCTCATATTTTGAGCAATGATCCATGATCACATCCCTCTCTTGCCCTGTGCTGGAAAAAACTGATATTGTAACAGAATTTTTTAATCGTATCCAAAATGGAATACAAGGAAGCAATGTCCTAAACATGGATAAATGTAGTTTTCCTCACCATGATTGTTTGAAATAAATTTTTAATAGGGCAGAGACTATCCTAGAAAAACCTTATGAAAAAAGAAGGAATAAAGCAACACTTCTGAAAGATATATAGAAAGGCCAAGGAAATGGGTTCTTACGTTCGTCCAATGGGTTAACACCATAAGCGAAAAAGTCTAAACGCCTACCGGCCACATATAAAAAATGGAGGTTGAGTTGTCTTCCAAAGAAATGCTATCATGATGTACATTAAATCTTACCCACGCTTCTTCCCCTTGAACACTCAATATGGCCAAAAGTGATTGACATTTGGATGTCTCAGAGTATCACCTCAAAATGGTCATGTTATCCAACCTTGCTAAATGCTCATGCCATGTAAGCTCCCACAAATTCGAGTACCCCTTTATGGAGGAACTCGCCTACCATTTCTTTCGCCCTTTGTTGACGGAATCACCTCATAAAAGCACCTTTATTAAGTGAGGTTATTCTTTGTTGGGGAACCAGCGATAGGGTGATGTGCACGCTCATAAGAGGAGGCATTAATTTTTAAACACTTCGGCCTTCAAAGAAAAGTCCTTGTGCTTGAGGGACTGTGTAGCGTTATAGTTAGTAAGGTCTTAGACGTCCAACAATTGTTTCTCCTGGATGGAATCTAAAGGACTCACCATACGAACTCTTTGAACTTGGGAACCAAGTAAGAAAGAATCCCCATTGACTCCAGAAAGATAGGCGGTCAATATCCTCCTCTAGTAAGAAGGGAGTGGTAAAGACCACATAAAGGGAGAATACCCTTGGTCTTGGAGGCCCATATAAATACATTATCCTTCAAAGTAAAAAAGTGCAAACTCTAAGTCACACATACTCTACAACCTAAAGAGCACCATGTTCTCCACAACACTCAATTAACATAATCTTCCGCTTGCAACCCAGCAGCGCCAGTCACCAGCAGGACCTCTCACCTCATGTGAGACGATCCATTAAATAACCTCAAAAACCACTGTATAGGGCTACTCACCATCGTGAGCTAGCCCTCATTATTCAAACGTGTTTTATACCTACAAAGTCCTCTGATTCTCTCTACCCTTGTAGTGAGAACACACACCCCATATACTTTTTTACTAGTACATAACCTATGGGAAGGAAACTTTCATATAATTACAGAAAGAGGAACCTTAGAGTTACGAATTTAATCAAAGCCCTCACATGGGTTGGAAACATCTTACCATTAATTACATTTATTAGAAAAGATTAGAAAGGTATATACAGGCAATAGAATGACCATATGGTCATCTTCGTAGGCATGGAGAAGTACAACATCAAAAAGAGGTTGATCGATCAAGTAAGTTCGGCCAACATCATATTAGAACAGGCATATAAGTAGTTTAAATTACTTGAGACAATCTAAAAACCATATTGCTCATGAAATTCTCAAAAGACAGTGTAGAAGTCAGGTGATACTATAAGGATATCTCGAATTTTGATTGTCGTCGTTATTCATTGATCGGCTGAGGCACCGGTTAGATGCAATGTTGTTTAGATCTCGTGCTATTGAGACTACTTTGGTTTGCCCGGTAAACAAATACAAGCATGAATAAATTTGTTAAAAAAGCATGATTAAATTTCTTTAAAAAAGGTCATTTAAATTGATGAATTAGAATTGAGCATAGGATAATGAAACATAATGGAATTAGTTCATACCATTACATATACTTCAAATCGTGAAGAATGAAAATTAAAGAATTACTCCTTATAACGATTTATAAGTAAATTTGATTTTTTTTATATATTTAATAATTAATATATTTAATCTATATATGAATTAAATACATTGTCAAATATATCAAAAAAAATTAAATTTATTTATAAATCGTTACGAAGAGTAGATGAAATAAAATACAATTAATATATCTAATTTATATATGAACTAAATACATTAATTATCAAATATATCAAAAAAAATTGTTATATGTTCTGGTTTTGTGGCACCCCTCCCATGTTGCCAGGATAGTTATTTTGTGGCATACCATATCCACTATTAGGAGGAGGAGGGGGTCTGCCCATGTTAGGAGGAGGCTCACCCATATTGGGAGGAAGGTAACCGCCAGTTGTGTTGTTAGGGGCGTATCCGCCTGCATTTGGAGGGGCGTATCCACCTTGGTTGCTAGGAGGGGCTGGAGCATATCCACCTACATTGTTGGATATGCTCCAGATTCCGTGAAAAATTAAATCAGTAATTCTTGCTCAGTCTCTTGCTCAACCCTTGACATGCACAAATCATACAGTATCACTATCCAATTCTCTATGATTTTCAATTTCAATAAGTTTGACAATGTTCAACAAACCACTAATTTGAGTCCCTCTTGAATCAGGAAAATCTACCTGAATTGAGCAAGAAAAATCTAACGTAGACATCATCACTAATCCTGTTCGGCATGAGAATCATATAATGATAACGAAGTCGACTAATAGAATAGGATCAATGCCTTGTAAAACTAACTGACAAATCAATAAGTTACTTATCATGATGTATTCAAGAGAAGTTTATTATGTCATATCACCAAAGAAGAAATTTGATGCAGTACACAATTATATGACATCGACAAAAAAACACCGCCATCCTCGCGTAACGATTATTTGATTAAACTCAAAAGGAAATTTCAAAATTTTATGATAAGAAATTACAAAAGATTAATATATGAATATTTTGTTTTAAATTTATAGGTTCAATGTAATTAGTCCAACCCTAATGATTATGAATAAAAAGGAAGTCCTAACCTTGAAATAAGGCTATTTCCCAAAAAGATATCATTATAGTAAACACAGAAACTGAAAAGCATATTGACAAAAGAAAATTAATTGTACATAATTTAAAGAGCTTAAATAATAAATAAAAATAATAGAGAGATGATGAAGCCTCAGAATTGCAGAATAGTATCAGCAAGGCAAAAAAAGCCAATCAGTCCCGAAAGATGGTAATTTGTGATTGTTATCATCACCGGCAATCTCATGTGTTTCAAAAAAAATGTGTGTCTCATGGCCAGTCCCAAGAGGTAAAGGCAGCAACGCTGCTCCACAAGGCAATGGAATATGAGACAAGTACCGACGGAGGAATTTACTCCGATAAGAGAAAACCATCAACATCGGTACATTGTTCTGCGACGTTTACTTGGAGTCATGCAAACACTAGCTCAGTTTGCCTCCATGACAGTTAGGGATTTGGATTAAAATCCCCCGTCGTAACAGATCTAATTCAAATCAAAAACAAAATTGATAAAACTAAATATTGAGATCAAACAAGTATGATTACAGCGGTTTGAAAACTATGTGCCGACGAAACCCCAAGACCTAAAAGAAGAGACAGGTGAATTGATAAAAGAGCAGTGACTACATATTTATACTAGTTGGAAACTAGGTTTTAACTCTATGGGCTCCGTGCATGGGCTTTTCATCTCACCAACGCCGGTCCATAACCAAATTAAGGTCAGCAGATTTTATCCCATACCCTCCTATATTTAATTTTCCACCCCGACAATTTATGTAATTCGACCAAAATACTCCTATATAAATTGTATATGTTTAAAAAAAATCTTTTTTTTCGTTTCAATATCAAGTTTTTCAGTCGATTGAGATAAGTTAAAAGAATTCTGAAATCTTGTGAATCAGAAGTCTTACTTCGATGTTATATAGTCCTGAACATTACACTAGAAATCTTAACTCCAAATTTTCCAATACACAAGATTCACATACTAACACTGAAAGTCTTACTTCCAAGTTATTTAGTCCACGAGCTTAACAAACCATAAGACTTTTGAGTAATTTCTCTGAACCTTTATTTTTGTTTATCGGATGTTTTTTTGCAAAAGTCTCTCTATTTTGTTTTTTTTAAGTTGATATATAATCATTGCAATCATTGGTCCTTCAAAGCATCCCCATTGTGAGGGATGTCTCCTCCATAGGGGGTCATGCAATGCACCATCTTCAACAGGAAGTATCTCCCCGTCGCCTACCAGTTGGTCCCCACGGATCACCTTAAATAAATCTATTTGACTCAAATATAGTCCTGAAAGAATGAGGGATATTTAATCCTTTGCTCGCTCGAAGTATATGTTTGAAGTGTGAACTAGGTCGTCATTGAGAACATAAATCTCCTCAAGTTTTTGAAAATAATTAAGGGCCTCGTCTAGAGAGCCCTTTAGTCTTACAAAAATAGTAGTATGAGTTCACGCTTCCACTACCACTATTATGAGTAGGGCCTTCAAATTGTCCATTTATTGCATAAGGCCTTAAGTGTTTTTTCGTGTTGAGTGAGTGCTCCCTTGTCTGTCGCGATCTTTCATCTTAGGTCACCAACGACTTAAGATTTTGTTACTCCAATGGATGGTAGTCTTGTCATTATGGAAGGTAGTTCGTTGTTGAGATTTTGTTACTCCAATGGATGATAGCCTTGTCATTATGGAAGGTTGTTCATTGTTGAGATTTTGTTACTCCAATAGATGGTAGCTTTGTCATTATGGAATGCAGTTCGTTGTTGAGATTTTGTTACTCCAATGGATGGTAGCCTTGTTATTATGGAAGGTAGTTTGTTGTTGAGATTTTGTTACTTCAATGGATGGTAGCCTTGTCATTATGGAAGGTAGTTCGTTGTTGAGATTTTGTTACTCCAATGGATGGTAGCCTTGTCATTATGGAAGGTAGTTCGTTGTTGAGATTTTGTTACTCCAATGGATGGTAGCCTTGTCATTATGGAAGGTAGTTCATTGTTGAGATTTTGTTACTCCAATTGATGGTAGCCTAATCATTATGGAAGGTAGTTCATTAATGAGATCTTTTTCCGATGAATGGTAGCCTTGTCATTATGGAAGGTAGTTCGTCGCTGAGATTATATTGCTCCGTAGGAGTTCATTTATTTACAGTCATGAGTACTGAATACATCTTGAAATTTACTGGTATTATCTTAACACTGTAAGTCTCAAAATTATAGAGATTGATCTGGATAGTTGTTATGTCTTAGCCTTAAACTCTCACTCCAAAATAAGTCCTTAAGTAGTTTACTTAGCAGTCGACAACATCTTAAGCATGCTCTACATAGGAAAGCCGGTGAATATAAGTGAATGATCCTACTTCGTTTGGCTTCTAGGCTCATTGAACCAAAATCCTCAAATTATGTGATCGGAGGAAAGAATATAAATATCCCTATAATATTCACCAACTTGCATATAAGTGTGTTTAGGTGATTTTCTATAAATCATGTTTATTTAAAAAAGTAACTAACTATGCACGAGGCCCCACATTGTTCACATCGTCAAATTTAGAGAAATAACCCCTGCTAGCGGTACTCTATTTATATCCATAAAGTGTTTATTACATTGTCGCTAGCGATGGTGATAACATGTTGTGAATTCGTGATTTAGCTCATTGGGTGGAGCCTTCTTTCGAGGTGTACAACAAGATATAAGATATGGATGTATTATTCATTTTTAATGTCATTATATTCCTTTTAAACATTCATGACATGTTTGATGAGTACTAATTTTTTTATAGTCCTTAATTGGACTCACATAATCGCAGTCTTTTCCAATACACAATATTCACGTATTAACACTGAAAGTCTTACTTCCAAGTTATTCGGTCCACGAGCTTAACAAACCATAAGACTTTTGAGTAATTTCTCTGAACCTTTTATTTTTTTTTATTGGATGTTTTTTCTGAAAGTCTTTGTTTTTTTTTAATTGTGATCTTACCATATCAGAAATGGACCATCATAGCTGGCTCGGACAAAAGTTGAATGAGATGGGGGTACCTGCAAGACACTCCGATGGCAAAGTAAGTTGCAGAATGAGCAAACAAGTATGAGTTAGAGAGATGAATTGAATACCTGACCCTCTTGAGAGAGAGGGTATTTATAGCCCCCAACACTGGGCCAAGGTTCCCACTCTTGGGCCATGTTGAGGCCCAATCACAGGAACTGCCAGGGCTTACGTGTGTATGGAGTCCAGCAAGTGGGCTCCCCCTGGTCAACTGCTCCGCGAGAATAGGGTTGGAGCCATGATTTCTGGAGGGCAGTTTAAGATGGCTGTCGTGGGATCATGGGTCACGTCCTCCAACGGTCGGATCGGGAGTTGCCCAACGGTCCCTAACTTGGGTTGTCTTTGGGATTCCCATTTGAAGGATAAGTGTATGCCCAATCCAGATCAGGAGCCCCCCAAGTTATTGTCCTTGAGCAAGAGGGCGGTGACTTGAGTTCAGCTCTCGATACCGGAGACTTGATCGAGGTAGATAGCCAAAGTCCCCCGAACAGAGTGAGTTGTTGCCCGCGTGGGGGACAAGCTCGAGTATATCAGGGGATATCATGGATGAGCGGGCAGCGAGACCGAAGGGGTCAACCGCTTGCCCGGGAGGACGTATTAGTAATGGGGAGCCTCTGCAAGATTCCCTTTGACATGCCCGTCTCGAGGGAGTTGTTGGTTTGTCGAGCATTACTTCGTTCCCGAGGTGGTCGAATAGAAGTGCCCCTACGTACACTCTAATGTCGAGCATTTCCTCGTGTAGGTATCTGCCTTGTGCGTGTCTGGGGACGATGCATAAGAGTCAGGCGTATGCTTGTCCGTCCAGAAGGGATTCATGGTTGAGAGTTGAGCCACGTGGCTAATACTTTGGGGTGCCACCCCTTCAAGGAAAAAGCAAAAAGGGCCAATGAAATGATGACCTTTCATGAGGTATCCCTTGGGGCGTGGGTCGCCTATAAAAGGGAGCCCCTGAGTCTCATTTGTCATCTTCTCAAGTTTCCTCTCAACCTTTTCCTGCTGGTGGTGTGAAGCGATTCTCTCAACTTCTCAAATTTCCTTGCTTGTTATGCGAAGAAATCCTCTCAACTTCTTAGATTCTCTCTTTAAGTTCTTCATCCAAGTAATTTATAACCTCTTAACACCATGTTTCTTTAGCGTTTTTGGATTAAATGTCAAAATTATGCCTTGATTGGATGAACATTTATGAGTTTTATGATTAATACTCATAAATGTTCATTTGAGTTCATGGATTCTGTGTCGAGCACTCATGAATGTGCCGGACACTATGAAGGTTCATTAGCTATAGTGTCAGGGGCCTCCCCGAACAATGTCTGTAACCGGGGATGGTTTCCTCGGATATAAGGAGTATCTCGGGCTTTTTTCTTGATGAGTGATCCCCCCGACAACATGTCCTCGTAATGTAATGGTCCGCTTTAGCGTATCAAGGGCTTGGGTCGAGTTCGTCGCCCTTTCAATTGATCTGCGAAGACGAGCCTCATGCCGACGAGGACCCTTTGGCTTGGGTCGCACCTAAGCCCCGTGATAAACGATCATGCTTTTCCCAATACGCGAAAGATGCGTTCAATTACCCGGAGGAACGCGCAGAAGGGGCCCCCACCAATTGGATGCTCCAAATCCCCCATCGAGACCAAAGGATATGCTCGACGTATCCAGGCAAACGGTTCTCCATGTACGAATTTTCTTTCAAAGAGGCGAGGATGCGCCTTCCCTTCAATGATTTCCAGGTCGGGGTTTTCCAGTGGTTTCAGTTGGCGCCTTCCCAACTCCATCCAAACGCGCTGGCGTTTATGCGAGCGTTTAAGCTCGTCTTCCAGTACCTGAGGATAGGCGCCACACTGCCCCTTTTTTCCTGCATCTTTCACCTCCAAAGACAATTTGTCCGAGGGGGCAGGCGTGGGTATCCTTCAAGCAGTTCAGGAAACTCTTTCGGCCTTACCTGGAGTCCGTCCGAAATTTTAAAGAGAGGTACTTCGTCGTGAAGCCCTTGACGTACGCGACTATAGATTCTCTTTATACCCGTGAAGAAGAGGTGGAGGACGGGCGACCAGTTACCTGACTTATGGCCAGATTCCCGCTCGAATGGCAATGGAAGCATTGTGAACAAAGGCCCGAATATTATGCAGTGAAACCCGAGGACTTGGACGCCCAAGACCAGCTTTCATACGAGAAGTTGTCAGCTTATGTTAAGAGTTTCTCCCCCGCGAAGTGCGTGGATATGAACAACAACTTGTTGTTCGACAACAAGGGGGAGTATCTCTTAGTCAATAGGTTGATCAACACGAAGGCCTTGCTCGAGTGCTCCTCAAATGGGGAATCCATGGGGCTTTTAGGTAAGGGGCGTAGTCGTTAGTTTGCTCCTCTTTATATGGGGACGTGCTCGCGCTATTTTTGATTTTTCCAACTCG